CCATCTTTCGGTTGATAAATTTTAAGTGAACTTATTAAACTAAGTGTTTAAAAATTATTGTGAATATTTTTAGGCAATGAATAACTTTTGTAATTACAGTACATCATTTTTATGTGATCACAAATATAAATTTTGCATTTTGTGTAAGTTTTCATTACATTATAGGGTATTTCTCCCGCCTTCTTAGCGAGCCTTCGGGGTGTAGTGGTCTGCACGTTAGCGCGTAATTGAGGGAGGTCCGCGGTTCGATTCCCAGAGAAGGCGTTGCATATTTTTCATCTCGCCGGTGTCTCCACCACTGTAGAGGCATTAGGATCTTTTCGGAAACAGGCAAGATGAAAAATATGCAACGCCTTCGCGGGGAATCGAACTGCGGAACTCTCAATTACGCGCTGAGCGTGCAGACCACTATACCACGAAGGCTCGCTAAGAAGGCGGGAGAAATACCTTATAACACCATACCTAAAACATATTTAAATATGTTTTTAGCATCAATTGTAAAGTAAAGAAAGTTTCCATGCCATTCTTTTTGCGATTTTATTAACGATATTCTGCCTTTTGACAAAATTTTTATATATAAAGCTAAGGAAAACTTCGAATTCTTGTATTATCTGAATTCTTCTTATTTGCATTTGAGTTTGAATTCTTTGTTTGAATTCTTCTCATTCTTTACATTCTTTTGAAAGCGAAAGAAAACTCTGAATTTCTAAAATTAAATTGTTTTCTAAAGACAAACTAACTTCCGGTAACTGTTGAACTGAAACCCACTGCATAAACCAAATGCAAGTGCAATATCACCAAAAATGCGGTAACCGCAAAAATTTCATCCATGACAAGTAAACTGAAAACGCACATTTTGTTGCTTTTATAAAAGTCATATCATAAAAGCTACCGATACTAGCGCGCCTGTCGAATGAAACTGAGACTTTCGAAGCCCTAAGTCGTTTAACTATTTGTGCATCTTCAAACAGGATTTGTGCAAGCCTGACTTTGAATAACACACGGGTATACACTCGAGCCTGTAAGTGGAGTAGCTCACCCGCGACTGAGTGGCAAAGTCGCTGAAAACTGATAGCTCAGTCCGGGGCTCGAATCTTGGCGAACAGGCTGGATGTTTATTCGTTTTTGTCGTTTACCGCATGAGTAACGTGTCTATAAGCCAGTTTGCCTTAGAAAGTCCTCCACGAAGACATCCCTCCCTTTAGGCAGATCAGGTCCTCGTGCGCTTTGCCATAATCAAATAAACAAAACCATAAATAGAGCATTTAATTCTCCCATTCATTGCATATTTTCAAATATGATGGAATACTGCGTTCATTTAGTTATTAAACTGAAGGCTTAATTTGTCAGGTGTAAACTAAGGAAATACCAAACTAAGGAAAGTGTTGCTTATACTAAGTATGAGGGCTTAAAATAAGTTATAAAATATAAGCATTACTTAGAACTATATTTCCTTTGCCACAAACTGAAGCGAAACTTAACTGAGGTCAAATATCCTGTGTTAGAAATATATTTTATTTATTATCCACATAAAATTTTCGATAGTTGCAGTTTCTTTACCAATGCGTAAAGCAGGGACATACTACATAAAAATCATAAATTTTGCACGAATTCATGAATGTTTTATAAAATTCTAAATATCTGGCCATATGAACGAAAATCTCTGTTCAATATATATTATTGAGGAACTTGTTTTTAGCTTTCTAGCACTCTTTTTTTGAGAGAAAGAGAGATTTAGAACGATGCATAGATATATATTTTCAGGTAAACAACAGTTTTTAAAAGCACTTTCGTTATTGCAAATGATTGCTGCTTGCTTACTACCGAGCTCAAGTTAAATATTTCTTATACTCTTTTAATGTGTGATAGTTAAATGAAAATAAGTTATTAGAAAGGCCTTTGAGTAATCAAGCATTTCTTAATTAAACCGTTTAAACGTTTGCTCGCAGAAATTTCCATTTTACTGAACGACACTTTCTCTATCATTATTGATTGGTAGTTTGCTATCTTGCCAGCAAATTTGGAGAATTTAATAGACGTAATTAATTTTTCCTCGAATGTCTTGGAAATCTGAATAAATGATACATTCGATTTTATCTGGAGAACATGGATGACGAGATAGGTTGAAAAACTTTCTTGTCTAGATGTGTTCTGTGTTATGTTATCACATGCCTACCAGCGGCCGAGAAGTAAAATCGCTGAGTACTGGTAGTGCCGGCCTGGTTTAAATTCCAGATGAATGGGCTGGCTGTATCTGCGTTTCGTGGTTTTCCACATGTGTAACGTATATACGAGCTAGTTTCCCTTAGAAAGTCCTCCCCGAAGGCTTCTCTCTTCTTAGGCAGATAGCCGTATTTTGCTTTGCCATATTCTATCAAACCAAACCAAACTTGTTTTATGACACTACCATGACAACAAATTTTGTTTTGATTGCTTACTGATATTGAACTTTCTCATAACGTATCCTATTTGAAGACTAACTACTACACTTTTTGTAGGTTTCATCAGTTCAAAGAAAATCTATCGCAGTTACATTAACTGCATAAAAGGATATCATTTATGATACATCCCGATTTTATTAAATAAAGGCATCTCTAATTAGGTTCCAGATACATAATGGCATTATTTTTCCGTTGTTACAATTCTCATGAAAAATATTTGACTTCTTTTCTAAATTTAAATTTGTGTCTTATGTCCTTGTTATTTTCTATTAGAAGATAGCTTTAAAAAAACCTCTACCTGGCTAGAATTCCTTGTACATTAATCCTTTCAAAATTTATGTTGTCATTCATAGATTCATTTCAAAATTTTGGGTTTTGCATTCCTAAACAATTCATCATAATTTAATTTGTGGTAATGCGAGAATGCTCAAGCTTAAATCGAATTTTCGTAATGATTTTAAGATTTTTGTTATCAAACTCAGACGGATTTTCATTTTAGGAGAGTCAAAACTTATTCAGCAATTTCTTAAAACAAAACATAGCTCTTTGTTACTATGGAACATAGAATCTGAAAATGAGCATACTCTTATCGCAGATAATGAAACATATCGTAACTAACAATAATATAACTTTAACTAACGATAATTTTAGAGAAATTAAATATAAGCAAATTTTTAAATTTTAAATAACGATATAAAATTTAATATACCTTATTTCGATCAAAAAATGAAGATAAATAGTGAAACTTGCAAGTAAATCATTCAAATTAAGTAAAAATTGAATTCAAATATTGTTTTCAACTTCAGTAAATGAAATATTATTTGGAATTAAGCAAATTTCTCTTAATAACAAGGAGGATTTTATATACAGAAAAGACTGAACAGTTAATTTTTAAAGTCTTATCACAAATGAATCAGAAAATTCAAAAAGGGTTATATTTAAACCCGAAATCCGTTAAAATGCAGACAGCTAAGTCTCTGAACACTGGTAGTTAGATCTGGGTTCCTTTCCAGGTGAAGGGGTTTGTTTCATGGCTTTTCATGGCGTCATTGGCTTTTTAGGCGATTTCCACATGTGTAACATGAGCTAGGCTTCCTTAGAACGTCCTCCATGATATTATCGCTTCTCTTAGGCAGATATCCCTAACATTGTTTGCCGTAATCAAATAAGCCACACCGTTGAAACGCACAAAATGTTTTATTAAACTAACGTCACTTATCACAAATTTAAATTCTGACATCACATGCTTATTAGAACAAACGAAAGGTGACTAATTATGGTTTCACCGTTTTTCTGAGTTGTTAAACTGCTTTCTCATTTCCGTAAGTTTGTTTTTTTCTTGTAGAAATCCTATATCGAGTTGAGAAGCAAAATCCAAGTTTGAGTTCAAGTAAAAATTAATAAACATAAAAGGAATCAATACTGAATAACGAACATAAATGAAACATAAACAGAATAATTATTGAAGCTTTTTCCATTTCTTCCCTTGCGTAACCAAAACTGAAAATAAAACCGTACACATTTTTATCGTATTTCGTATTTCTGATAAAATGAAATTCTGAAAATTTCAAAATTCGGTAAAACAGTAACACAAGTTACTAATACAGACACAAGATTTTTCAAGCGCAAAAAAACTCTATGACTTTTGCAAAAACAAAGGTCATGCGAAACTATTTTGCTCCCAAAAAAGAGGGTGTCTTATTGCACTTATTTCCTGAATAAAAGTTCAGTAATTAATAAAAAACAATATGGCTTCCGTGAAGGAATATCTATGGAACAGCAGAAGCAGATCTTCTGAAAGTGCTGAAAAAGAACAGAGAGGAAGACAATCACTCAGTAGTAATATCTATTGACATAAAGGGAGCCTTCGATAATGTCTGGTGGCCTGATGTAACAAAAGCATTATATTCAATCAACTGCCCTATTCAGATCAGAAAGTTGATAAGGAGCTACCTTCAAGACAGACAAGTTCAAGTAACTACAAACGATGGAATAATCCAGCATAAACTGAAGAGAGGCTGTCTACAGGGTTCCTGTCTAAGGCCAAACCTGTGGAACCTACTAGCTAATTCAGCGTTCAAAATTTTTGAGATGGAGAGCGGGGTACATCTGCAAGCGTCTGAGGATGATTTCCTTCTAGTAACTTCGGGAAGAAAGAATATCGAGAAAATTACACAAAATGCACTAAATAGGTTCTTATAGTGGGCACAAAGACATAAACTTATGATGTCAGCAGAAAAAACTACCATGTGATTTATAGTGCAAAAAAGAGTAACGAAAATAGTTTACCATTAGACTACCATTAGACTCAACAGTAGCTCAGTAAAATACTCTCCAAACATAAAATACCTAGGATTTATCCTCAACAATAATCTCTCTTGGATTCCCCACTTAAAAGAATTCAGGAAAAGATGTATCGCACTCACAAATACAATGCTACGCACAACAGGACTGCAGTGGGGAGCACCACCATAGGTACTTAAGAGGCGGTACCAGGCAACTACAGAAAGAATTGTTCTCTACGGCGCAGCTATCTGGGAAAATACACTCAATGTAAGCATGCGTAGATTACTCCTGTCCATGCAAAGGCTGCAGCTCTTGCTCATCTGCAAGGGCTACAAAACTACTTCAACGACAGCTCTGCAGGTTCTGGCAGGAATTCCTCCGCTAGACCTGCAAGCGGAAAGGGAGTCGTTAATTGCAAGAGTGTTAAGGCTAGGTGAGGAATAAATTCTATGGGAACAACACCACATTGCTGAAGAAAAACACAAGCCAGTGACGCAAAGACATCCGGCTGAAACACATCTAAAAAAGTATATTCTAGGCCACTATGTGACCCCAAAAGATAATCACACAGCTATATTTACAGATGGCTCAAAACCCGATACGGGTACTGGCAGTGCCTTCTGCGTTTTAAAAGGTGATACAGTTATGTATAAATGGAAAAGAAGACTTGGCATTAGATTATTAGTATTCCAAACTGAGCTGGCAGCACTGAAAGCAGCCATTAATTATGTGAAGATGAGCAGACTTACCCAAATTACTATTTACAGTGGTTCTGCCTCTAACCTTGACGCAATCAAAGGTTACAAAAGCAGAAGCCAGTATGTCCAAGAACTTAGGAAAATCCTCCTCAGTCTTCTGCCATCAGAAAGGCCATGCCTCACGTGGGTTCCGGCTCACGTGGGCATAAAAGCCAATGAGGAAGAGAACACCCTGGCAAAAGAAGCGGCAAAGGAGGTCTCAAGAACAGAACTGCCAGATTAATTAACTAGGTCTCATCTTAAAAAGATCACTCTAAAACAACTGATAGACAGATGGCAAGCCAGATGAGACTCAGAGGATACAGGAAGGAGAACATATGTGTTCTTCCCCAAACAACGCTAGAGTTAAATTGCAATAGTGGTAGTCAGACACAGTTTTATACAGGTCATGGCCAATTCCTGACCTATCTGCATAGATTCAGCCTGAGTGACACAGAAAGATGTCAATGTGGAGAGGTGGGGGATCCAGACCACTACGTCTTCCACTGCACAAACACGGCAAAGCCAAGTCAAGCTTACTGGCCACAATGGGCGGGAAATATGAAAACAGAGAACAAACAAAACAGCAAACAAAGAGCTACAAGCGCTAATCAGCCATTGTCAGAGAAAGTATTCTCTAATATGACGATAAGTGTCCCCAAACAGAAATAATCAAGTGCTTAGCGCTCTGAATCATAAAATGTACAAGTCACACTAAATCAATCTGTTAAGTATGCGGGGCACACACCTCGGACCTCTCAGCCCAAGACTAACTTAGATAATTAGGACTATGGCAACAACCTGCCTATACTCTTTAAAAATTTTACTTTTGCAATTAATGTACAGGTATAGGACTCGCAATACCAGATTGAGCCAGTGAATCTTCAACAGCAATGAGTTTTTCCTACACTTACTAATCGTGTATTTGGGCCCACCAGCGGCCGAGCGGTAAAGTCGCTGAACACTGGTAGTTCGGTCCGAGGTTCGAATCCCGCGAACGGCGTTTTCGTGGTTTTCCCCATGTGTAACGTGTATACGAGCCAGTTTCCCTTAGAAAGTCCTCCACGAAGGCATCCCTCCTCTTAGGCAGATAGCCCTCGAGGCTTTGCCATACTCACACACACACTAATCGTGTATTTAAATTACAAGTTTGTGATAAGTAGGTTCAAGAAGGGCAAGGTCAACTTATATTATCACCTCAAGTTTGTGAATGATATTATTATTCATATGGCATTTTACCTTCTTAATTTTAATAAATATTCAACTTTTTATGAAAATTTTAGGGAAGAGATATCTGTATTTATGTGAGCAACTGTATGTTTGAATCTCTCCCTAGTGATCAGCATTAAGTGCTTAATTATGTTTTTTATAAATTATGTGCGTGTTCTAAAGTCATAAAAGTAACTATGGAATTAATGTAGGTAAGGTTTTCTTTCTAATTATGTATCAGCATTATGCATTCAAGTGTTTGGAATCAGATATCAGTTTTACTGAGTATATGCTGTACTTTTCTGTTTATGTTCACTTTAACGTACTCAAGTCTGTACTTATTACTTCTCTGCATGTACTATGAAGGTCAGTTCGTACTTGGCTAGGATTTAGACTACATAGCATTACTTAATGATCAGTTTTATGTATTATGTTTAACAGTTTTAGTTTTAGTTTTCATGTATTACGCATGCATTTTAAGTGTTATGTATGCGGGTATTAGGGATCAGCTTTCTGTATTTCTGTACTCAGTATCATGTTAGTTTTTCACTTTAATATTCAGTTTTGTACTTATGCATGTATTATTCTGTCTGCAAGTATTACGAAAGAAAATGTAGATGCATGGTTCAATTTATAAAACAACTCCAGTTTAAGTTTGCGCAAAGAACTAAATTATGCAGGAATTTGTTATCTTAGTGATATATAACAGCGATTCTTAACAGTCTTTTGATTGCTTCTTGCTTAATTTTAAGTAGTTCCTAACAGGATACTCTTTCCCCGAACAACAATATCCAAGCTTACATATAGACTTTATGAGGCTCTTAGCCGTCTATTCGGCTGCGTTCCCGGAGCAGGGTGGAGCAGAGAGTAGATGATTTCTGCGAAGAAGATAACACACTGTGAGGCTAAGGCCAGGTCAGTTGTCTTCCTTGGTGGCGCTCACTCACTCACTGTGAAGTGAAAGAATTTAATTCAAAATCTAGATCACCCAAATAAGGGTGCTGTTTTTCCTAAGTTTAAATTCTACATCGGTTGATTTATCTTGGAGTTTTTATTCTGAATTTTTTTAAATGAAGGTAATTCGAATTTAAAAGCAAAATTTTGATCATTTGAATGCCATAGCAAAATAGTAGGCTAATAAAAGACACTTGAGGAGAATTATTACTGAAATATCACGCAGTAGAGGACCTTTTTATATTTTTATATGACTAAAATTCTTTCATCATTTTCTAAAATAAGTTAATTTAAATTAAACGGAATGATCTTGATAATAAGAATGTCTTATCCAAATGGCGAAACTAAGAAAATATATGTTTTTATTTTACTGACTTCAAACAGACATTGCTAAAAATTAATACTCTCCTAAATATTTCATTACGAATAGGCCTTTCTAGTGGATTATAATACAAAGTGTAATATTTTAATAACGAGTTTTAAACACATTGTAAATGCGCGAAATGTGTAATCTACTAGAAGAGTGGTATGCCAGAACTGATGTTACATATTGTAAATTATCTTGCTATGATTATATCTTGCTATGATAAGTAAAAATGCTTTTCTTTAGTTTCCGAACGAAACTGTAAATATGCTAGTAAATATGTTATAAATACGAAACTGTAAATATGCTAGTAAATATGTTATAAATACGAAACTGTAAGTAATATATGTTTTGTACCATTTGTTTAGACTTGTACCATTTTTCCTTTTACATTTTACAACTCTTCGAAATACTTCACAACACTATATGTACACACAATTACTTACTATGCTTAATCTTAAAATTTTGAATCAGTGCCAAGTGAAGAGTTCAGTATTCAAATCTACACACTCATTTAGTCAGTTATTTTAGAATAAGCAGCAAAAAGCCAAAAATACTCAAAGGAACAAAAAATTATAATTGTACCTTCTTCTAAGTCCGTATTTTCACGCCTACACAGTGTAATTGGAGATGGAGATAAAATACATTGTTTTCTTACTGAGCGAAACGTATTTATAAATAGTTTGAATAGGATTAGCTAGATCTCATTGGAAGACAGAATTTTGGAAGAGTTTTATTAAAATCAAAGTGCGATGCATCCAGTAAGTTCGTTAAAGTTTTTAAATATTCAGGAAACAAAATTCAGCATATGGGATCTAATTTTATTTGAACTGAAAGATTTTTCACTTTGATATGGATATGGTATTAATGTATCTATAAAACATTCCTCGAGAAAACTCATTGTCGGAGATTTCATTTTATATATCTTCCTCTAATATTATTACATTTTTGAGTTCTGAATACTCAAAAATTCTTGGATGAATGCATGTTATAGCATATGGGCATGAAACAATACAAAAAGAAATGTAGTAAATGATATATTTCATAGGAATTCTTATAGTATTTCTCAAGGAATTAGTGTAAGAGTATAAAAATATTATTCTGGATGGCTTGCAGTGATCGTGCAATTATTTCAGTACTTCTTCTGATTGGTATAGTGGTTATAAATGCAGGCTCTCATAACGCCAGCCCAGCGTCGAATCTCGGAGAAGTCATGGATACTTGCATAGCGTTTCTGTGTAGCATGGTTGTACCTAAAAAACTCGTAACGGAACTTTCTCTCGTGTAGTTTGGTAGCAGAGATAAATGAGAGAGAGAGAGACCCTAAGATGTTCACCATCAAAACTGGGGCCGAAATGCACAGCCGATGTCCTAGGATTATACCTGTATGACCAATCATAAAATACTGCTGTTCTACTCACTTCTGAACTGTATCTGTTTCAGCACTGTTCTGGTCTAATATGTGTAGTTCTTTAATTGAATTTCAGTACCTTAATATCATTTTTAGACATTCTCAGGCTGGAATGTATAACTAGAAACTGAACGCAGTTGAACATTTCAGATTTTTTTTCTCTCTTCCTTTTATGTGTTTAATCAGAATTGCTGCTAGCAACATAATTTTACCTAATGTTAGAAATATGTATGCATTGAACTTTCTCTAAGAAAACCACCAAACGTTCTAGATGATTCTGGTCTACTATGGATGTGTTCTTCTTATATAAAATTAGCGGAGATATTAAACATCGGATTTGCATAATGGATTAACAATATTCAAGGCTATCTATCTGAGGACGTTAAAGGAAAATATCTGAAGAAGAAAAGCAACTTCTCGGTGTGTTAATATCACTATATATATGAAATTTCGAAATAATTACAAACATAAGTACTGCAGAACGTAGGAATGAGAAAGGAAAAAAAACCTTCGAAACATTTACCGTGTATAGTACCATTTAATTTTCTAACCAGTTAATTTAACTTAAAGTACCTTTCCAATCATTTCCAATTCCTCATTTCGTTTCCCTGCCAGAACACAAATTTCCACCAATTTGATATTTAAATTAGGTAGAAGAAGGAAATACTTAAAGGATGGTTTCAGAGAGTGAAATCAAAGCGTGTTCTGCCTGACTGAAGGCCACGTTGCTAGCTTCGATTCTCTAGCGATTAGAATTCTGCGGCGTTGAGTTATTCTTGCCATTAGGCTTGTATAAGCCGACTTCGAAGACCAGCTTGCGCGGTAGCTAAACTATTAAACCGCTAGACTGTATTTAACTTCATCAATTTTAAAGTTATCCATTACTTTTTTATTTAAGCCAAATGTGCTGGCTTTTGTAAGTACGAGTTGGTGCCGATTGTTAAACTTTATTTGAGTTAATAAAATGTTTTCTACGCCCTTCTCCTGACTTCTAGTACTTTAAAGACTTGGAAATAATTCATGAAACAATCTTAAACATCTAGTGTATTTTATGATAGCTAAGAATACACGACATTACAACCTAATATATACTTTTCCTGAAATAAACGTAAAAATAGAATATTTTTAAATGCGAAAAAGAGTCTTTCGTATAAAGCAAAAATGTTTACAAAAACCTTATATTATAATTTTTTTTTTCATTAATTTCAGAAACATTCACTGAGTACAAAAATATGCAACCAACAAAATATACCTTTTTGATTTTCCGTTTTGGTTAACCATTTTCTTTATAGAAAATAGTTTAAAT